AAAAAAAACACACAGCCGAAGCTATCGATCTACTGGCTGAAACTTAAGAATCGCTAGCACTAATCTACTGCAACAACCATGCAACTGCTCCGGCCACAAAATTTGCTTGACATCTACAAATATGCATATTCCAGACCAAACTATACATGGTTTTAGACCAAAACGCCAATGTTCCAAAAAAAATATTTATATTTTAGATAAAAGTATGCATACTTCCGATCAAAATATGTAAGTTTCAGATCAAAATATGCATATTTCAGAACGAGATACGCAATAATCCAAACAAATAAGTTTGAAAGAAGATAGAACTTTACTCCTAACTTAATGTGTTTCGCTCAGTATTTCGATTTGAGCTGACGTATCCTGAATTACTGAATCAAAAAAGTACCATTTTTATACGAATCCAAGCCATCACAATCGCTCATTCGTTTGCGGCTACGATTTTGTCGTGAGCATACAAGGAATATGAAGAGAACGATAGCCAAAAAGGCACAAACCAATAAAATCCAAACCCAAAGTGGAGGACCCGGCGATGACCAGTGCAGATCTCTAAAAAAGAAACACAACGACATTATCCAGAAATACGAAAAGAAACCACCACGTAGTACTAAAAGTATCAATTCAATAAATCACGCTAAAATATCTAGATTCGCCGGACAATCGGTATGGGAGTCCGATATTAGTGAGGTTACTGGGATGCTCCTATAGAACCGGGATTTTGATTCTTGGCTTCATACTTCCAGTTAGCACCCATAGCCTGTTCAATGCATGTGCGCCACCTCTTCCAGAGTCGCCCGAGTGGTCGATTTCTTCGTCGCGAGAATTTTTTGCTAATACGAGAGAAGCTACTGTAGAATTCATGAAATGACTCGGGTTTTATCCAGCGGATGACTAGTGAAAGAACAAAATCCAGAAGTTTTCTGAAAACGTACGCGATACTGTTGTTATACGTAAAAGCATCGCCACTCATTGAATTACCAGACAGTGCTCGGTTTGGCTGATATATCAACGGATCACTCCACATACCACGTCGATAATCGTGAATTACACGAACCTGGAAATTGCCGGTGAATCATCATGGCTAAGAAATTTCCTGTATCAGGGTGAAAACAACTGATAAATTTGAAATTTTTCAAAAATTTAAATTTCAGATTTGAAATTTGGAAAAATTTGTTCGGATTTTAGCAGCTTTATTTTCTAAACAAAGCGTGACGCATTTAGTTCTTGATGCAATAAGTACTCGATTCTTCCGGAAATTTCTGGAAAACGGTAGCTCTCGTCAGATCCCTCAAGAGATGGAAAGAATATTATGAAAACAGAAAGTTCGCTAGACGATTTTATAGAACACAATTGCAGCTAAGGTACCATGAGAAATCTGCACATTTCTTCGGCATCGCGTACCATTAACAGCCTAATTTTCTTAAGAAGCTTTTATGCCAGTAACTTTTGGTACATCCTCTCACAGAGGCGAAATACACTAAACAAGAAAAAGTAAGGAAAATCCTTCACAAAAACTTACTTTAAATGTATACATAAGCAATGGTTTCAAACTTTCAAAGGTATAATAAGTGTGCGCTGTATCCACAACTGTTGACGTATCATTATATGAGGATTCAATCTGAAAACAAGACCAGCAATTTCTGGTTCTCCCTCATTATCATCGATGTCCTCAAAGTTTCGGTTCGAAAAGACAGCACCTGCCACTTCAGTACCACTGTGTTGAAGGCAGTGATTTACGAACGCGAAATGCGATCACTGCGAAAAAGGAAGAGCGAACGCTGACTGCGACGGAGAGAATGATGGAGCGAAGAATGCTTGGCGCATCTCCCTGCGACTATGTAAAAACTCAGACTCCCCGTCAGATGAGCGGCGATATCATTGCGATCACGCAAGAAAGTAAAATTCGATGAGCAGGACATGTCGCTCGCGTTGCCGACAAACTATGGACGAAGCACATTAGTGAGTGATACACACAAGAAAGTAAATGATCACTCGGACGACCCCCGAAAAGATGGCGCACATACATGAAACAGGTAGTAAGTACTAACTGGAGGTATGCGATTCAGGTCCGAAAGCTCTGGCTTAGTTGTACTTAGCATATGGGAGCATCCCATTAACATTATTAACAAGGTTTAAATACTTTCGATCAAAAATACAGTAAAATTAGAAGTTACTGTTACCGTGAGATTATTAAGCTCGAAAAAACACTTCAGCGAGTATCAAACGATTTACCTCATACGAAATTTCTCTGCTGCTATCAGCCAATGCACCACTCGGAGGTTTCCAAGCAATGGTAACGCCATTTTCCTGTACACCCTCGATCCTAAGGCCACTTACAATCAGAGGCACCAATGGTCTGCAAACAGATTTTTCCAAAATGCTAGTGAATTTTCACTCAAATCTGAGTTATAAGAAAAATAGTACATGTCGGCCAATTCAATTTTTCTCAAATTC